GTCGCATGAAGGGTGCGCTGCATCCTGCTAAGGGTTTTCGGCATCTTGTGCTTACTTCCTTGCGTACGGATGACAGCTGCGTATGAATTAATTTATTTTCTGGTGCTTTCACTTCCAGGGGGCACAAAAAAAACGAAGAAATCCTTCGGATCGATGCTGCGTATGATGCGCATGTATGCATACATGTGCGCAGTTGAAAAAGAAAGGCGCTACGAAGCAGCGTGCTCTGTACCTCTCTCTGCCTGCGTGTCCTCATTTATGCTGTACCCTGTATAATTATCTGAAGGTTGTAGTTCACACTGTTAACTTTGCGGTGCTGGAGTGCTTGCTAACCAGAGCATCATCCAGCAGCAGCAGCAGCAGCGGCAGCAGTACCGTACTGACTGCTGTTGTACCACTGCTTCTACTGTAGTCCCTTCTTTCATATGGGTTGTGTGTCGGGAGAGAGGTGTGGCTTCCCGACATATTCTGGGGTATACTCATTCCTGCCAAATCATAGATCGAGAGAACTCACACAGCGGTTGAACAACATAACAGCCGGGTTGGCTACACAACAAGATTTCATGTTTTGAAAACCGAAAAAGATTCGCCGAAAATATTTTCATGTGCAGGCAATTGATGATGAAGGAAGAAAGATATCCGTTCTCCTTATGTGTACCTGTTCAGCACATGCCTCCCACATAACAGGATAGATAGATAGATGGAAAGATATCGTACCTGTAAGCAGTAGCAACAACAACAGCAGCCCTGGCTACAAACAGGGGAAACAAGTTGAGGATGGATGCGCTGTTCACCGTGTTGAAAAGAAATTCGGGAAGAAAGCAGACATGAGCAATGAGTACTCTAGTAGTGGGTAGATGATCCGTTATTTCGTGTCTAGAAGCTGGCTAATCTAATTGATATAACTCGGCCCCCCCTGTATAGTCTGCAGCACACGTCACGCGCATCATTGACACATTTATAGGTACAGTAGATCGAAGTCATCCGGCAGTACAACAAGAATGGACGAACGGCAGACCTGGTGAGGTTACCTTTAGCTTCAACTTCACAGAAAAAGAAGAGTCGAGGATGCGGTGTTCTTGCCGTGAAACCACAGAAGAGTCAAGGAGAAGATTTCATCGGGAAGAAAGGCCCACCCGTTTGGCTTTCTTTGCATATAATCTTCATTCCATCGCTGCCGTGGCGCGGTGGGTCGGTCGGTCGGTCGAGTTGGGTTGGGTTTTGGCTTAGGTTGGGTTAGGTTGGGTTGGGTAGTGGGGTAGGGTGGCTTTGGTCGGTCGGTTGGTCGGGGTGTGTTGTGGGGCGGGTTAGGTTGGGTTGGAGGTAGATCGTGGGTTTGGTTCGTTCGTCGGGCGGTCGGGCGGTCGCTCAGTCGGTCGGTCGGTCGGGTTGGGGCTGTGTTGTGTTGTGTTGTGGGTTGCGTTGAGTGAGGTAGCGTAGGGTAGGTTCAGGTCGGTCGGTCGGTTGGTCCGTCGTTTGGTCGGGTTGTGTTTTTGGTTCGGGTTGTGTTTGGTTTTGGGTTATGTTGGGTAGGGTAGGGTGGAAGGTAGGGTGGGTTTGGTCGGTCGATTGTTCGGGTTGTGTTCGTGGGGCCGGATTGGGTTGGGTTCAGGGTGTAGGGTGGGTTGGCTCGGTCGGTCGGTCGGTCGATTGGGTTGGGTTGGGTTGCGTAGGGTAGAAGGTATAGGGTAGGTTCGGTCGGCCGGGTGGTAGTGTTGTATTTTGGGGTTGGATTGAATTGGGTTGGCTCGGTCGGCCGGTTGGTCGGTTGGGTTGGGGTTGGGTTAAGTGTTGTGTTGGGTTGGGTAGGGTTGGGTGTAGGGGTGTGGGTTGGGGGGTAGGGCGTGGGGTGGGTCAGTCGGTCGGTCGGTCGGTCGGTCGGTCGGTCGGGTTGGGGTTTGGTTGGGGTTGGGTTGTGTAGGGTATAGGGTGGGGTAGAGAAGGGTTCGGTTTGGTCGGTCGGTCGATCGTCGGTCGGTTGGTCGGTCGATCGGGCGGCCTGATTCGTACGGATTTCTTTGTTGTGGTCGCGTGTTTTCCGCGTTGGTGTGTGGTTCTTTAGGAGAGGTCTTGATTGGGCCTGTCGGTTACAAGTGCCGCCTTACATGTTACAGACAGTTCACTTGGGACCTGGCGGATTTTGGGGGGTGTTTTCTTGTTCTGGTGTTGATGGGTTCGTCTTTACCCGACCGACCGTGTCCGGTTGGGTTGAATAAATTGGCTTGGGTCGGGTTGGGCTGGGTTCAGTCAGGGGTTTGGGTTGGGTTGGGTTTGGTTGGGGTTGGTTTGGTTGGGGTTGGGGTTGGGTTGGGGTTGGGTCGCCGCCGTCGATCGCGCCGCCGTCGCTTGGTCGTTCGTCGCCGTTTGGTTGGGTTTGGTTGGGTTGGGTTGGGTAGGGAAGGGAAGGGTTGTGTACGGTTGGATAGGGTTGTGTAGGTTTGGGTAGGGTAGGGTTGGGTTGGGTCGGTCGGTCGGTCGGTCGATCGATCGGGCGGCCTTGGGCCGCCTTCGTCGATCGCCCCGCCGTCGCTCCGTCGATCGTCGACGTCGATCGCCATTGTACACAGCACCAGAGGTTCTGCACCACGCTCTTTGATGACCTTGGGAGCGGATCGACCCTTACGTCTCTGCTGCTGTGGTTATTAGCCCACCAGGCTGCTCACTCGTTTTCACTTCGTTTAACTGCTGTGCTGCAGGTTCTAATTCCAGGCAACAGAAACTATTCGGCGGCCTTCCTCGTGAGTGCCACGCTTGCGGTAAACACCGCATGGTACGCGGCAAATGCGTCATGACACACCACACCTGGCGCCTGTTCTCCTATCATGCACGAGACGGCCAAGTTGAACGGTTTTTATTCTTACGAATAACGAACAAACTCATCTCTTCCATGGATAAGAGTCTGGGATCGAATAGCAGCGAATTCATCGCGTCAGCGTCAGCGGAAACTACCTGTTTTTCTACCATTCGTCGAGCGTCGAGCAGCATGTATCTCCGTGAACCTCGAGTGGCCAACGTCGAGAAGGCGGCGGGGGACCACGCCACCACGCACAGCCGCACAAGCAAGCAAGGAACTCTCTCGCTCATTCAAGAACAATCCCCCAGGGACTATCCAGCCCCTGCGGTGGAAAGGATTGACCGGCTACCGCGCGCACACGAGCCTAAGAAGATTGGCCTGCCCGGTGGCTGTCGGTCGATGGTCGATGCACTCACTGCTTGCAGGGAGTGCGTGCGAAGGTTGACGTTTGCTTCTGCGGCCGCTAACGGGTCTAAACAACATGAAACATGAACACACCAAACCCAGCATGTGTCTCACCGTCTGCGGATCAAGTCGGCCCCAGCCAGCACCTCCTCCTCCTCCCCTTCCACCACCACCCCTCCCGAATCTACCACGCCCTCCCCCCCGGCCAAACTTTCCGCGGCCACCACCCCACCTTTCCTCCCCTGTCCGGCCACCCCGGCTGAAGTAGCTGTCGCGGCCACCGCCGCCCGCGCCGCCCCTTCCTCTGCCGCCTCTGCCGCTCGCCGCAGAAGAGCTTTGCCACTCTTCCCTCGCCCTTCCCCTCCCACCACCCCGGTTCCCTCTGCCCCGCCCTCCTCTTCCAGAAGACCTCCCCCCTCGTCCTTCCCGTCTAGGCTCTCGGCGGCCGCTGCTGCCGTCGGCGTAGTCGTAGCCGCTCTCGCCCCCCCATGACCCAACCCTCGTTGCAGTACTGCGGATGCTGGAGCTGCTCGAGAATAGTCGTGGTGTTGCTGGTGTGGTCGCCGCGAAAGCGGGCGTGGAAAGGGGTTGCCAGACCCATCGTCCGGCTTCGTGCGCCACAGCGGCAACCGTGTTGCCTCCTGGAACGACACCCATGATAATGTGTGCTGTTGTGGTCACTTGCGAAGCAAGGACGCCTTGGGGGGGGGTACGTCGTTTCATCCACGGTACCCGTCGGAACCTTTTCTTCTCCTGTTTGGGCCTGCTGTGCGGCGAGTTTAGCAGGATAGCAGGACAGAGCAGCGCTCTGCACCGCCGTGCACAGCAGTTCCGACACTCCTGTCGCAAGTGAAATAAGGAGCGAACGATGAGGCTGGCACCGAG